ATCCACATCCTTCTTCAACTCTCCACCAAGCTGGCCCAACACCAAAGAATCACGACTACTTGCACCGCATACAGAGTGAAAGGCCAAACGCCCCTCGTCAGTACGCTTCACACATTCACAAAACAGCAAAGCATCAGACGCCAAAGAACAACTACTGTTAATGCACAACTCCACATCGCTATTCTCCTTCTCCGCCAAACAACAAGAAAAGGAGAGCAGATCTGAATTCCCACACAAACCCTCAAACCTATTCCTAATACTACGACATTCTGCAGGAATACTCTTAAAATCCTCAATACAAACACCGTCATCCCTCTCCCTCTGCAGCTCAGAATTCTCCGCCACGGCTTCATCCCTCTCCTTCTGCAGCACAGAATTCTCCGCCACGGCTTCGTCCCTCTCCTTCTGCAGCTGGGCATTCTCCGCCACGGCGTCATCCCTCTCCTTCTGCAGCTGGGCATTCTCCGCCACGGCGTCATCCCTCTCCCTCTGCAGCTGGGCATTCTCCGCCACGGCTTCATCCCTCTCCTTCTGCAGCTGGGCATCCTCCGCCACGGCGTCATCCCTCTCCTTCTGCAGCTGGGCATCCTCCGCCACGGCGTCATCCCTCTCCTTCTGCAGCTGGGCATTCTCCGCCACGGCTTCATCCCTCTCCCTCTGCAGCTGGGCATTCTCCGCCACGGCTTCATCCCTCTCCTTCTGCAGCTGGGCATCCTCCGCCACGGCGTCATCCCTCTCCCTCTGCAGCACAGAATTCTCCGCCACGGCTTCGTCCCTCTCCTTCTGCAGCACAGAATTCTCCGCCACGGCGTCATCCCTCTCCTTCTGCAGCACAGAATTCTCCGCCACGGCGTCATCCCTCTCCTTCTGCAGCTGGGCATTCTCCGCCACGACGTCATCCCTCTCCTTCTGCAGCTGGGCATTCTCCGCCACGGCTTCATCCCTCTCCCTCTGCAGCTGGGCATTCTCCGCCACGGCTTCATCCCTCTCCTTCTGCAGCTGGGCATCCTCCGCCACGGCGTCATCCCTCTCCCTCTGCAGCTGGGCATTCTCCGCCACGGCTTCGTCCCTCTCCTTCTGCAGCTGGGCATTCTCCGCCACGGCGTCATCCCTCTCCTTCTGCAGCTGGGCATTCTCCGCCACGGCGTCATCCCTCTCCTTCTGCAGCTGGGCATTCTCCGCCACGGCGTCATCCCTCTCCTTCTGCAGCTGGGCATTCTCCGCCACGGCGTCATCCCTCTCCTTCTGCAGCTGGGCATTCTCCGCCACGGCTTCATCCCTCTCCTTCTGCAGCACAGAATTCTCCGCCACGGCTTCGTCCCTCTCCTTCTGCAGCACAGAATTCTCCGCCACGGCTTCATCCCTCTCCTTCTGCAGCTGGGCATTCTCCGCCACGGCTTCATCCCTCTCCTTCTGCAGCACAGAATTCTCCGCCACGGCTTCGTCCCTCTCCTTCTGCAGCTGGGCATTCTCCGCCACGGCTTCATCCCTCTCCTTCTGCAGCTGGGCATTCTCCGCCACGGCGTCATCCCTCTCCTTCTGCAGCTGGGCATTCTCCGCCACGGCGTCATCCCTCTCCTTCTGCAGCTGGGCATTCTCCGCCACGGCGTCATCCCTCTCCTTCTGCAGCTGGGCATTCTCCGCCACGGCGTCATCCCTCTCCTTCTGCAGCTGGGCATTCTCCGCCACGGCGTCATCCCTCTCCTTCTGCAGCTGGGCATTCTCCGCCACGGCGTCATCCCTCTCCTTCTGCAGCTGGGCATTCTCCGCCACGGCTTCATCCCTCTCCTTCTGCAGCACAGAATTCTCCGCCACGGCGTCATCCCTCTCCTTCTGCAGCTGGGCATTCTCCGCCACGGCGTCATCCCTCTCCTTCTGCAGCACAGAATTCTCCGCCACGGCGTCATCCCTCTCCTTCTGCAGCTGGGCATTCTCCGCCACGGCTTCATCCCTCTCCTTCTGCAGCTGGGCATTCTCCGCCACGGCGTCATCCCTCTCCTTCTGCAGCTGGGCATTCTCCGCCACGGCGTCATCCCTCTCCTTCTGCAGCTGGCCATTCTCCGCCACGGCGTCATCCCTCTCCCTCTGCAGCTGGGCATTCTCCGCCACGGCGTCATCCCTCTCCCTCTG